CCCACAAATCATTATCACTCAATTCTGCAAGTGGTTCTGATTTACTATCGCTGTTCTCTAGCTGGTCTAAAACCATTTTTGACCTAAAGGGACGCTTTTTGGACGCCATGGACTTTACTAAGTTTGCAGGCGGAAACAACAGTCAAAATGCAGGCAGGGCACAGGACAAAGCACCCGGGACAAAATGTATGTGAGATGGTTTGAAACAGCAATGTTTTTACTATGTAATAATAATTTTTTAAAAAATGAAATTTTTTAAAAAAATTTCAAATTTGCCGCCGGTTCCGGCGCCCTACGTCCCGACGTCACAGGGACCAGAACACGGAAGCCGGATCCCGGCATCGACCGGAGAAGATGGCCGGGGACGCTGCAGGGGACGCATCGCGGGAGCAAAGGACAAGGTAAGCATTGCAGGGACTCCCTATGCAAAGCTGCATGGTAAGCCCGAGTGTAGCTCGGGGTTACCGCTTTTGGTACTGAAACTTTACCCCGAGCTACACTCGGGAATACCGCTAGGGAGGTTAATTTCCCCAGAAAGGGAATCCACTCTGTTCACAGAGGTCCTGCCCTGGGTGGAGGCACTGCCAGCTTTATGCTCATGCCTACTCTTCCACTTAGCAGAGGTTCTGGTTCTCTTATTTACCTATTGCAATTTGTCAAACCGTTCCCTCTCCCCAAGAGAGGGTTACACTAGAAACTCTCTTTGCAAGGTGAAGCTGAGAGTGGAATCGACACTCTTACACTAAATTATGTATTACTCATTAAAGAGCATCTTTTATATTTGATCCCTCTGTAGTTTAATATATTAAGGGAATATGAGAAGACCAGAATGTCCTTCAAGGTCTATATTCTGCCCTTTCCACGGAAACTTCTCCTTGCAGTTTCAGGCTACACCCACACTGAATAGTCACTTAGAGATGAGGGTAACTTGTGTAATTCTCCGTAGCTCAGCGAGAAGCAGCATCTGCCCGCCATTCAAATTACAATGCTGTACAGACTGCATGCAATCATAAGATCAATTTTCTTTTAGTCTGGTTCAGTTGCAGTAACAAATCATGCAATGAACCATTACAAATTCTTAAATTAATTGAAGCATTCTTTTAAGAAACCAGTTTGCTTAGCGTATTTCTAATACAAGCTGGCGGTAATATCAGACTATTCTTAGCTGTCAGTTTTCAGCGTGTATAGCTATAGTTTCGCAGTCTGTCTTCCACCCACCTAAGACAAATGGGAAGTAGCTTGAGAAGTGGAATGAAACAGTCCATTGCATTAACAATTTGCTGTGCCGTAACTATTATGTTTTGCCTGACTTCACAGAGGGGCAATAAACACTTTATGTTATTATTTATCAGTGTAGTCTATGCAGTGGTGAAAAATAAGAGACGTCACCTGGCTTTAATTATGATAAGCTGAAATGTGTTTGTTGAGTATAATATAAGGGAAGGCATACACAGGAAGCCTACTTAATTAAAAGACCTCCAAAATATCATGTTTTTTACACCCCTGATTTTAGAAGCATGAACAGTGATGTTTTAAAAAATTATATTGACAACATATGGAAATATTTGAAGGGTCTTGATCCTATTCTTTAATGCAAAAAATATGCAATTCACTGGTAAAATGTACATTTTTGCTATGATATTAGAAACATTTGAAGGGATGTGGTCTTATGGAAAGAATTGGAGGGTTCTGGTCTTATTTTCAATGCCAACGATATGCAATTCAATGTTAAAGTCTATCATTTTTTATGTTAGTAGGTATGAAAGATGAACTTATAGAGTAAATAAGCAATAGTTACATAGTTAGTCTGGATGAAAAAAAACAAAAGCCTATCCAGTTCAACCATAGATAATAACCTGACAACTTTGGGTAGGCATTACCAGGTGTGATCACTTGCTTTTCAAGTGCCGATATTAGCTTTGATATTGGCTCTTTCCCTGTAAATCTACCTTTGCAAGAGGTTATTAAGTCCCAGTAGGATATATAATTTACTTTAAACTATGGTGGACAGTGCATCTCCAGTAGGGATGAACACAGTGATTTTTCAAAATTAATTCTGCAGAGAAAAAACTGATTTTACCACCTGTGAAATTGTACTAATGGAGAAGCCTCTCAATTTCACTCAATGAGCTATGCTTAAAAGTAAAATCCACTCTAAAGTTTTTGTATTTGAAGATGCGTTTTTGAGAGGTGTGGTTGGAGTAGCTTGGTATATTTTTCCATTTCAGTCCATTTCCATCTTTCAGTTCATTTTAAATGGCACCCCAAAGCACTAAGACAACAAACATGTGTTGCAGTGACACAACACCCCTTAATGACACGTACAATTTTCAAGATGTTTTGATGCATTTTCAGCCTCTTATTTTTAATGGGATGCTTTAACATATTTAATGTTAATATGCGACACAAAAATGTTTTTGGTATTTGTGTTTTTCTCCTATGATCAATTTGTCTTTGCGTATTTGATTCTTACTTAAATTTTTATTTTCCTTTTTTTCGCAAATTGTTTTTCTCATTATGTGAATAATAGAATCCAGGATGGTTAAGAGGAGCTTTTATAACCCTCAGGAGCTGTATAAAGCCAACTGCACCTTTAAAAACTACTTTAGTTGGGCATGTTCCAAGGACCCCCACAGAGTGGCTTCATTTCATGCCTATATTCCCTCCTCACAACTCCGGCCACCATGTCCCCCCCCCCCCCCCCCCTTACACCCGTAAATGGGAAACTGACTTAGGCAGGCAATTAAACTACTCTGAGTGGGACCATGTCTGGACTAATACAAAATCATCTTCGCAAAACATTGTAGCTCTAGAAACCAATTATAAAGTCTTAACACGATGGTATTTAGTCCCAGCGAGAATTGCTAAATACACCCCCAACTACTCGCCCAACTGCTTTAGAGGCTGTGCCGACCTAGGAACACACTACCATATATGGTGGAAACTGCTCGGTAGCTCAAACCTTTTGGGTGGAAATCTTTAACATGTTATCCATACTTTGCACTACTAAACTACAACCCAACCCGATAACCGCCCTACTTAATCAACGCCCTCCTGGCTTCTCTAACTCGCAATTCAAACTCCTTCTGCAAGTCACCACAGCGGCGAAACAGGTCATTGCGAAATCCTGGAAATCCCCCTCATTAAATATTACAGCGGTTAAGACCAGAGTCACGCAAGCTATGATACATGCAAAAGTGGAAGCCATAATTCTTGACACGATCCCTAAATTCTTAAATGTTTGGTGCCCCTGGGTAGAATGTTTTCTCCGACCTAACTTTGATGAATCTCTTCTTCTCCCCTGATTTGTCTGTAGTACGCCTTAGACACTGCCCATGTTTCACCCCATACAATGCATAGGTGTTGCCATGTTCCTACCTACCGCTCATGGAGTCATTACTATTACCCTTCCTCTTCCCCCCCCCTTTTTTTTCCCCCATTCCTGCCCCCTTTCGATCCCCCCCTAAATTTCTACAACCTTTCATAATGTTTCAGTGAGCCATTACCCTAACTGATCAACTTCACGACATCTATTGCTAACAACTCCCACCCACTAGTAAGCACCAGAAACTTAGTATTGTTTTTGTGATCCTCTCTTTCCTTCCTAACCATAAGGACACTGAAGTTGTGATTTTTTATTTCTTATGTTTTGTTGTCAGTACAATGCCTATATTATATTGGTAATGTCTCTATTAGAGATGAGCGAATTATTCAAAAATTCGGTTCGGCTGATTCGCCGAATTCGCCGAATAAATTCGCTTCGAGCCGAATATATTCGCTGCGAATTTAACTTATAAAAAAAAGGGTGTTTCTAGGCTTCAGAGAGCCTTTATATTAGTGCAGAACACTGTACCTTTAATTTAAATGCCCTTGGAGTCTGCTGGGGAAGAGAAATAATACTGTCAGTCAGTATGACATGCAGATGAGTGCCGTCGATCTTAGAATCACCGCACACTTCACTCATTTGGGCAGTCACGGGGCCAAAACCAGAGTGTGGAGCCACAGTGTGGCGGTGGAGGCAGCAGCAATGGGAGGCCATACAGCACCCTATGACAAAATGGAACCAGCCAGCAGTGTGAGGAGACCTGAAAGTGGCACATGGCAGAGTGTGGCGATGGAGACAGCAGCAATGGGAGGCCGTACAGGGACCCATGACACACTCTGGACCTGGCAGCAGCATGAGGAGGCGGTACAGGGGCCCATGACAGATTACGGCCTGGCAGCAGCATGAGGAGTCGGTACGGGGGCCCATGGCAGATTACGGGCCTGGCAGCAGCATGAGGAGGCGGTACAGGGGCCCATGGCAGAGTGGCGGAGCGTAAGCAGCTAAAATTGAAGGCCATACAGAGGCCTATGTTTAAAAAGTCCCCCCAGCAGCAGCGTGGGGAGACGACTATCAAGAGTCCAATGGCAGAGTGGCGGAGCAGAAGCAGCTTCAATTGAAGGCCATACACAGGCCTAGGTTTAAAAAGTCCCTCACAGTTAATTCCAATAACGAACTCTACTCCTCCGTGCAATCTACTTACGAGACCCTGGGCAGGTCTGGGTCCAATTTGTGGTAGAGACTGGTTTTGTTCAGCCATGCTTGAGCGAGTAATAACAGGTCTGTGCTGCCCTTTGGTGTCTGGCTTAATGCGCACAACACTGAACGTCCCAGCGTTTGTCAACGATTTGCCGTTAAGTGATGCAAACCCGCTGAACCACGTTCATGAGGAGCCGGTACAGGGGGCCATGAATCAGTATGGACCTGGCAGCAGCGTGAGCAGACGACAGAGGCACATGGAGCAGGGTGGAGGTGTAGGCAGCATTATTCTGAAGCCATACACAGGCCTAGGTTAAAAAGCGGAAGCCGTCAGCAGCGTGAGCAGACGACAGAGACACATGGCGCAGGGGTGGCGGTGGATGCAGCAGTATTCGGAAGCCAAACACAGGCCTCAGTTAAAAAGCGAAAGCCGTCAGCAGCGTGAGCAGACGACAGAGGCACATGGCGCAGGGTGGCGGTGGAGGTAGCAGCAATGGAAGGCCATACAGCACCCTATCACAAAACGGAACCCACCAACAGTGTAAGGAGACCTGAAAGTGGCACATGGCAGAGTCTGGCGATGAAGTCAGCAGCAATGGGAGGCCGCACAGGGACCCATGACACACTCTGGACCTGGCAGCAGCAAGAGGAGAAGGGTACAGGGGCCCATGGCAGAGTGGCGAAGCGTAAGCAGCTTAAATTGAAGGCCATACAGAGGCCTATGTTAAAAAGTCCCCCCAGCAGCAGTGTGGGGGAGACGACTATCAAGAGTCCAATGGCAGAGTGGCGGAGCAGAAGCAGCTTCAATTGAAGGCCATACACAGGCCTAGGTTAAAAAGTCCCCCCAGCAGCAGCGTGGGGAGACGACTATCAAGAGTCCAATGGCAGAGTGGCGGAGCGGAAGCAGCTTCAATTGAAGGCCATACACAGGCCTAGGTTAAAAAGTCCCCCCAGCAGCAGTGTGGGGAGACGACTATCAAGAGTCCAATGGGCTGAGTGGCGATCCGGGAAGTCAGCGTTGTGATTGCAGATGCAATGCAGAAATTTTACGAAGTAATGCCGTGGGTGCGAAGAAGATCATATACTGTCGTACTTCCATCCATAAGACGGAACAACCTGCGAACCGGGAGCTTTATTGCCCTGACCCGCTGAGCAGCTTCTGGGATACCCAAGAGGCCCATGGCAGAGTGGCGGAGCGTAAGCAGCTTCAATTAAAGGCCATACAGAGGCCTATGTTAAAAAGTCCCCCCAGCAGCAGCGTGGGGAGACGACTATCAAGAGTCCAATGGCAGAGTGGTGGAGCGGAAGCAGCTTCAATTGAAGGCCATACACAGGCCTAGGTTAAAAAGTCCCCCCAGCAGCAGTGTGGGGAGACGACTATCAAGAGTCCAATGGCTGAGTGGCGATCCGGGAAGTCAGCGTTGTGATTGCAGATGCAATGCAGAAATTTTATGAGGTAATGCCGTGGGTGCGAAGAAGATCATATACCGTCGTACTTCCATCCATAAGACGGAACAACCTGCGAACCGGGAGCTTTATTGCCCTGACCCGCTGAGCAGCTTCTGGGATACCCAAGAGTTTGGCTTCTGTGGGGAATATGGTTGAAAACTGAAACTTAAAGGCATGTTGACGGAAGGGCACCAGTGTCAGTGCTCCGGAGGGAATATAGCTTCAAAGCTGACACTTAAAGGTATATCGACGGTCAGAGACCACAAGAAGTGGAGCTTGCGTCTTAAATCGACTGAATGTGGCAGACGTGAAACGTCTATGGGCCGTATATGAAACGGGTTGTTCCTCTTTCTGGAATAAGTGTTGGAAATGGCCACTCTTTTTGGTGTGGCGTTTTGTCTATTTAATTCCGATAACGGACTCTACTCCTCCGTGCAATCTAGTTACGAGACCCTGGGCAGGTCTGGGTCCAATTTGTGGTAGAGACTGGTTTTGTTCAGCCATGCTTGAGCGAGTAATAACAGGTCTGTGCTGCCCTTTGGTGTCTGGCTTAATGCGCACAACACTGAACGTCCCAGCATTTGTCAACGATTTGCCGTTAAGTGATGCAAACCCGCTGAACCACGTTCATGAGGAGCCGGTACAGGGGGCCATGAATCAGTATGGACCTGGCAGCAGTGTGAGGAGACCCAAAGTGGCACATGGCGCAGGGTGGCGGTGGAGCAGCAGTATTCGGAAGCATACACAGGACTAGTTTAAAAAGCGGAAGCCGTCAGCAGCGTGAGCAGACGACAGAGGCACATGGCGCAGGGTGGCGGTGGAGGCAGCAGTATTCGGAAGCCATACACAGGCCTAGGTTAAAAAGCGGAAGCCGTCAGCAGCGTGAGCAGACGACAGAGGCACAAAAAACATGGCGCAGGGTGGCGGGCGGTGGAGGCAGCAGTATTCGGAAGCCATACACAGGCCTGGTTTTTAAAACTGGAACCCAGCAGCGTGAGCAGACGACAAAGACGCACATGGCAGAGGATGGATCTGGCAGCAGTATGAGAAGGCGGTACAGGGGCCCGTGGCACAGTGGTGGTGATGGGGGCTACAGCAAACTGGATGCCAGGAAAAGTGGCCGATAGGGCTATATACTGCATGGAATTATAAAGTTGTAAAGACAGCGGCCCTATAAGCTATACACACTATAACAATCATGACTTGATTGACCATTGGCCTATAAGGCTATACACAGCATGAATATCATGACTTATATTCTGAGAGTGGTTTGGAGAGGCTATATACAAAAAGTAATTCATGAGCTGTCCGGACAGCGGACAATAAGTAACATATATACAAATCAATTCATACAGCTGTCCAGCCAGCGGCCTCAAAGGCGACACATATAAAAAGCAATTCATGAGCTGTTCAGACAGCGGCCTCTAAGGCGACAGATATACAAAGCAAGTGTCCCGAGGTGTGTTCAGGGATGCGGGCCCCTGAACGGCTAGGTTATTACTAAATATATTTTTGTGGCCAAACATCGGCCTATAAATAGATGTCTACTATACAGTGACAAAAAATTATTGTCGCCAGGGACAGCGGCCCCTAAGGTGACAGATATACAAAGCAATTCCCGAGGTGTTTTCAGTGAGCGGCTTGAACGGCTAGTTTATTACTAAATATATCTTTCTGGCCAAAACATCGGCCTATAAATAGGATGAGTCTACACAGTGACAAAAAAGTAGGTCGCCTTACAGCGGCGTATCCTACAAATTGACATTATAAGAAATGGTTTAGACGCAAAAAAAAAAAACTTTGATGCGATGCTATAAACCTTAGTAGATTGTGGAAAGTCGACAATCAAGCGTAACTGTGTACATTACAGAAAATCTTAACAAGACAACCAAACATGTGCCAAACCGTGACTGATACAACAAGTTTAGACAATGTAAGAAACAGGAGGGGCCAAACCGTGGCCAATAAATAAACAGTCCACCTCATTGATGATCATGGACAACAACGTGTCAAATAATATATTTTAAAAAAACTTGCTATTCCATCGGTCCTGGAACTGGTCGACTATAAATAATTAAAAAGTTTTAAATTCATGTGACAGTCGTTCCAGCGACGTATAAATAATTTTTAAAAACACCAATTCATGAGGGGGCCCGACCAGCAGAGTATAAGTCATTAAAAAGGGGTCAATTCATGTGACGGTCCGTCCAGCGAAGTATAAATAATTTAAAACCCCAATTCATGAGGGGCCTCCGACCTGCAGAGTATAAGTCATTAAAAATGTGCAAAACATGAGTCGCCGACAAAGCAGCCTCTCAATAAAATATATATACAAAATGTACGGATCAGGTGGAGGTCCTTCCATTTGTCTCCTAATAACATGTTTGGGCTTGATTCATGGCGGATTTAGTCAGTTGTGTCAGGAACTGAGTGGTTTGAAATCCAGACTAATCCACGCCTGAATTCATTTCACAAACGTGAGTCTCTCCACACTTTGGATGGACAGTCGTGTCCTCCGCGCGAGTTACAATACCTCCTGCCGCACTAAACACGCGCTCCAAATGCCACGCTACTTGGCGGGCATGACACCCATTCAAGGGCAAATTCCCAGCTAGTTGGGCCAAAGGTCAATTTTTGTTGCCCATAGTCAAGGGGATTGTTTACCTCGGTTGGCAGGGTGCTGTCCAAGTAGGCCCAAGCCTGTTGTTTGAGGTCCTGCTCCAGTCCACCTGATGCTGCTGCTTTTGCTAGCGGCTGGTTAGTAGTTCCTCACTGCCGCTGTGAAGAAAGCTACTCATCATCGACTGCAGACTGAGGCAGCCGCTGCTGGTGGAGCTGCACTGCTCCTACCACCCCGATCCACCCCTCCCCTGCTGCCATGGCTAGCGGGTAACGCGAGCGCCACAGGGGCCCACAGTGGTCCTGAGATGGACGTTGGCGCAGAAAGCAGAGACCCAACTGACGTACATAGGTGGTTTTTTTAATAGTACTTTATTTTGGGCCTCCCTCTCAGCAGGTGTGAAAAAGGGCCACCATTTTTGAACGGGGGTAGCGAGGGTCCCAACAAGGTGGACAGCCAAAAGTCATCCCTCTGTCTGATGGTTATTATTCGGCTGTCGCTACGCACAGCAGCAACCGAGCCATGCTATGGGGCCCATTGTGTGCCAAGGAAGTGCGAAGGGGACTCCCTGCCAGTCCATCTCCACAGCCATGACTGCCACGGGGGCGTCTGGGGTCCTCTGTCTCCTCCTACCTCTTACCAGATTATGCTCCTGCCTGCCTGGGCAACTCCTGATCCGCTGAGTGGAAAAAACCACCATTTCAAGCTCAATAATATTGCCTGAGGCCACGACAATGGTCCTTTTCCTAATCTTCCTCCTCCTCTTACTTCTTGTTCCTGCCCCCAACAGGGGGTCATGTGGCTGTTGAGTTGTAGATCTGTGCGCCACGTCTACCGCACCTGACTCAAGCCATTGTTAACAGCATTTGTTCTATGGACGTGCAACAACAGAGGAATGACGTCGTTTCATCCCATAGTCCTGTCTGCCGACTCACGAAATAGCGTGGCCTCCTCAAAGGGCCTGAGCAAGCGGCAGGTGTCACGCAAGAGCTGCCAATGGCTGACATCTAAGTTACACAGGGGAGTACCTTTATCCGCTTGTAACATCAGGAAATCGTGATGGCCTTTCGCTGTTCGTAAAGGTGGTCTAACATATGTAGGGTTGAATTCCACCTTTGTTGCAATGTCGCAGATCAGGCGATGCTGTGGAATTCCTGTCAGGATCCAGGTGTTCTGCGGCATCGCTCGGGCGGCGCATGCGCAAAACACCCACTCTCTCTACCCGGCGGGCGGTAGGACCTGGCCGCCGCATCGGCAGCGGCGGGGTTCGCGCATGCGCACTCAGTATCACGGAGACGCGCTGCAGCCTGGCACCAATGACAGCGGGAGCGCGGGCTATTTATAACGGCAGGAACACGGTAAATGATTCATTGTTGCCGTTTGGTCTTGTTATCCTGTGTCCTGTCACTCCTGTTCCTGTGTTCGCTGTATACTCCGTTGCCGACCTCTGCTTGTTCCTGATCCTGCTGTCTCCCCTGTTTGACCCCCTGGCTTGCCTGACTACTCTTCTGTCTGATTCCTGGTACTGTATTTGCCCCCGCATCCTGCAGAACCTGGCTTGTGACCTGACCATTCTAGCTCGCTCCTCTGTAACCATTGTTGCCCGCATAATACCGACCACCTCAGCCTGTCTGAACCACGCATACCGTATCCATCCATCCATCCATCCATGCCGGTTTTGGGGTCAGACCTGTGTATCTGTCTGGCCTCTTCCAAGTAGATTCCGTTCCTGCACTCCCCATGTCAGTATTCTCTACCACCGCAGGACGCACATCGGGGATGGTCGCGACCTGGTTTCAGTCTGCACACCAAGTCCATCTCCACCATCAGGGGCCCTGGTGAACACAGCAGGCTGGGACTTAGACCCCGCGCCCCTGGGAGGCGAAGTACGTCCGTGCGGTGGGCTGCTAGAGACTCTGCCAGGCGGCTTAACAGTACCAAACGGCCAAAAGATGATGATGGGGGGGAGTGGAACCTGAAGAGGACCTTCCCCCCTGGAAAAATATGTGCCAGCAATCTGGCGGCTCTTACTCAGGCGGTAAGGGCGCTGGAAGGAGGGCTATAATCACCTGGATGGTCGGATCCAGACCTAACCACCACTATTTCGGCCCCCCCCAAGATCATAGTCCCTCACTCCGACCAGTGTACCACTGAAACCCTGGCCGGACCAGCAGCACCTACACCTACACTTATGCCAGAACTCCACATGTTCCTGTCCCAGAACGATTCAGTGGGAAATCGCACTCACCAAGTTCAGAGCATTTCGTAATGCCTGCCTGTTGTACTTTAGCGCTCCAGCCACGTACGTTCGCGACAGAAACCGTGAAGGTGGGGTTTATTATTTCTTGCTACTGGATTGAACCCCAAGAATGGGCGCATCGACTATTAGAGATCCAGCAACCACCTCAGCTGAAATCTGTGCGCAGCATTTTTTGAAGCGATGGGGCCTCCTTTTACGATGACCCCGAACGAGCAGCATCAGCTGAATTGGCCCTTCAGTCTCTCAGGGCAAGGTCGTACGCCTGCAGAAGAGTACTGCGGGTGAGTTCAGGCGGTGGATTGATGCAGACACGCAATGGAACGACGCTGCCTTGCGCAACCAGTTTCCGCATAGAGCCCTGTCTGAGTCCCCTGAAAGACGAACTAGCCAGGTTAGCATACCAGCCACACTAGAAAATCTCATGACCCTGGCTATTCAGATCGACCGACGCTTGCGGGAACGCAGAGATGAGAGGTCGAGGCCAGGGCCTGAGGCCTGCTTGGATGGTTTCCCCCATGCTCCAGGACCAGTCAGTAGCACTGCTGGGAATCGCAAGCCAGAACCCCTGGATACGCCGGAACAATTGCAAGTTGGGCTAGCTCGTCCCTCCCTAACACCTTGAAGTGCGTCAAAGACGCCGCCGCCGCAACAACCTTGTGCCTCTACTGTGGGGAAGCTGGCCACATGGTACTGTTCCTGTCCGGTGAAGGCTGGTAAGTGCACTTCTGTTTTACTCTGCCACACCTAACCACAGCCAGTCACAATGTCAATTATTTAAGCGGTACCCCATTTCATATCCAGCTCCCGGAAGGGTCGTGACGGCAACAGCGATCATTGATTCCGGGGCCTGTAGCTGGGTTTGTTTTTTTGTGGATCTGGACTTCGCGGCTCGATTCCAGATTCCCCTTACAAAGTTAAAGAATGCGGGAAAAAAAAAAATGTTAGTTTGGCGGGTATTATATATTTTCCTAGCCGATGGATCTCGGATCAAGTCTGGGGTGGTG